CCCCCCTCCACTCACAGCCCCGCCCGCCCTCACTCACCACCTCACGCAGCGGTTCCGCGTGGCCGCCCCCAGCTGCGCGCACTCTCGGTAACAGAACCCCCCAGCACTATCCCCGTAACGCCCGGCGAGGACGGGGGTGGTATCTGGCAGGCTGAAGGATACCTCACGGAGCCGCCGGGACGGGGCGCGAGGCGCCGGGCCCAGCTCCATATAGCTGCGCTCCGCCAGCCCCGCCGCCATCTTGTCGGTACCTTCCCGCCCGCGCGGGGCAGCACGGGAAATGGCGGGCGGGGAGGAGGCGGTGCCCCCCACCGGGTGGGCGGGGCGAGGGGCGGAGCGGGCGGGGCGACGGGCGGGGCGGGTGTGACCGTGAGTTGAGACCACGCCCTCCGGGCTCGCCCGCTGCTTCCTGCAGGCACGGCCGGGACGGGGCGGCAGCGGAGTACTGGGAGTGAGTGAGCGCGGGAGGGGGAGGGCTCTATGGGGCGGCAGCCGTGGGGTGATGAGGGGCTGGGGCGCGTAGAGCTGCGGGTGGCTGAATCTGGGGCTCCTTGTGGGGCTGTGTGACCGGTAGGGCAGGAGCCGAGGGTCCCCGTGGGGCTGGAGCCGGGGTTTTGTATGGGTCTGCGGCCTGTGGGTCGTGGGGTTTCCTGTGCCGTGGGTCTTAGTGGAGCTGGGGATCGCGGACCCCTGTGGGTCTGTGGGTCCTGAGGTTCCCAGCGCTGTGGGTGCCTATGGGTCTGTGGACTGAGGGTTACAATGGGATCAGGGTCCCGTGGGGTAGGAACCGGGGATCCCGGTGGGGCCTGGGAACTGTGGGTCCCGATGGGGCTGAGGTCTGCGGGTCACGGGCTGCGCAGTGTTGTGGGTCCTGGTGGGGCTGGGGACTGTGTGTTCCTGCGGGGCGGGAGGCCACGGATCTTGGGGGTCGCTGCGGGGCAGGAAGCTGTGGGACGCCCAAAGAGGTGGGGCAGGATCCAGGAAGGAGCGCGTGCGTTTGGGACCGCCGTCGGGACCCCAACCCCATGGCGTCACCCCGGCTCTGCTCCGCGGCCGTGAGGCCGCCGGAATCCAGGACAAAAAAAGCAGGGAATTGGTGAAGCGCCTGCCCTTATATGGCTCCGGCCACCCTCCGACGGGCTGCGGGCCTGGCAACTCGTTCCCCACGCAGAATTTCCCCGCTGCCTCAGTTTCTCCATCCGCAGGGCGCTGAGGGGGTGGGGGCACCCGGACGGTCGGGGGTCTGAGGTCAGAATTAAATCCCCCGGCGGAGGCTTTGGCAGCAGCGGGAAGGGGGGGCACGGCATCACCCCCCCGCCCCGTGACGTCGGCCCCGCGCCGTAATCCCGGAGTTGAGCGGATTATGGTGGCAGTGGGGCGAGCGGAGCTGTGGGTCGGAGAGCGCCAAACCGCCTGCGAGGACGGCTGCCCCACGGCCGTGCCCTCCCGGGGGGCACTGATCTGAGGGCGGTGGTGGAACGCGGCCATGCGGCACGGGAGGAGTCGAGGGAACCGGCCGGACCGGTTCGAGTCCCGTTTTGCGCCCGTTCCGGTGCCTGGGGGGAGGACCTCGACACCGGCACGTGGACGTGGCTGAAGGTCACCGTCCAGCCTTTCCCTAGTGTCGTTGCCGTTGTTCCCGTTGTCCCCGCCCTGTCACCATTTCATCACTCTTCCTGCTCAGTGTTTGGGTTTTGGGTGGACTGCTGGCACTGGAGAGCAACAGGCAGTGACATTGAGTGGTGGCATGGAGAGCGTTGGCCATCAGGTCAATCCTGGGTTGCCCCATGCCATCAGTATTTCGGCAGCCTTCCTCCTTCGTGTTTGGGCTTTGGGTGCTACGGTGGCTTTGATAGCATCCAATGGGACATGGTGACATGGAGCAGGGTTCCCCATGGTAGTGGGGTGGTGAGCACCAGCCATCAGTCAACTCTGCTGTGACCTTGTCCTTCACCCACAGAGCCTGGGGATGCCGGTGCCCACCCTCGGTGCGGATCCAGATCCCGGCATGGAGAAGGAGGCATCGGGTGATGGCAAGGAGCCCTGGTTGGGCAACAGCAACAACAATGCGGCGCCAGCGGGGTGGCAGTGCCGGCGAGGTGAGGAGCCCTCGTACCTACAGCGTGTGCTGCTGGAGATTGTGGAGTCGGAGCGCACCTACGCCCGTGACCTGCGTGGCATTGTGGAGGTGAGCGAGCTGCAGGGTGGGCATCATGGTACAAAGTCTGGTCACTTGGTGCCACTGAGTGTCCCTGTAGGGCTACCTGGGGAAGATCATTGATGCCCAAGAGCCGCCGCTGCGGCCGGAGCAGGTCAGCGCACTCTTTGGGAACATTGAAGACATCTATGAGCTCAGCAGGTGAGTGGCACCATGGTGGCACCAACACCTGCCATAAGGGGAATGCTCCAGTCACCCCTATGGTCACCTGCTGTTCTCTGCACCCAGCAATCTGCTGCAGAGCCTGGAGAGCTGTGCCTGTGACCCAGTGGCCGTGGCTGTCTGCTTCGTGACGCGGGTAAGGGAACGGGGGGATGCAGGGGGATGTGTGGGAATGGGGACGTAGCGCCCAGCTCTCACCACATTCCCACTGCCCGCAGAGCCAAGAGTTTGACATCTACACGCAGTACTGCAACAACTACCCCAAGTGAGTGGGTGCTCGAGGTCAATGGGGCTGGATGCTGTGGGGGCTGGGTGCTGTGGGATTGGGTGCCATGGGGCTGACCCTCTCTGCGCCCTGCAGCTCAGTGGCAACGTTAAGTGAGTGCATGAGGAGCAAGCAGCAGGCACGTTTTTTCCGTGAGTGCCAGGAGGAGATGCGGCATGTGCTCCCACTGGGTGCCTACCTGTTGAAGCCGGTGCAGAGGATCCTCAAGTACCACCTGCTGCTCCAGGTGAGCACATGTGGCGCGGGTACTGGGCATGGCACAGGTACCTGGTGTGCTGGGAGCACGTAGCATGGCATTTGGCAAGGTGTGGGGCATGGCTGGAGCACCTGGCATGGCCCATCCTCGTGGCACAGCCAGACCCATCGTGGCTCATCTTCACTGACACACTGTGGTGGGAGTTCATGGCATGGCACAGGCATCTGGCACAGTGTGGGACATGGTTTGCTCATTGTGGCATGTCTCCATGGCACAACTTTGGCACACTTTGATTCCATGGGTGCTTGACATGGCACATCTCCATGGCACGCGACCGTGGCACTTGGACTTGATGTGGCACGTGTCCATGGCACAACATGAGCATATTTTGTTGGTCTGGGCACTTGGTGTGGCACGTCTCCTTAATGCAGCCTGGGCACATATCCATGATGGCACAGTACACCTCCATGATTCAAGATGGGCACCTTTGATGGCCTGGGCACTTGGTATAGCACGTGTCCGTGACACAACAAGGGTGCATTCCCATGACGTGTGTACCCACCACATTCCTGCAGGAGATCGCTAAGCACTTTGAGCACAAGTCGGGTGATGACTATGAGGTGGTGGTGGAGGCCATCGACACCATGACCTGTGTGGCCTGGTACATCAACGACATGAAGCGCAAGCATGAGCATGCCATCCGGCAGCAGGAGATCCAGTCCTTGCTGCTGCAGTGGAAGGGCCCCGACCTCACCACCTATGGAGAGCTGGTACTGGAAGGCTCCTTCCGTGCGCAGCGTGCCCGCAGTGAGCGTGCTGTCTTCCTCTTTGACAAGCTGCTCCTCATCACCAAGCGCCGTGGGGACCACTATGTCTACAAGAGCCACATCCCAGTGCGTGTCCGCAGCCAGTCTGGGGGACTTGGGGGTGGGCAGAGTGGTACAAAGTTTGAGCACAGGTCCCAGGGTTGGGAATTGGCTCTGAGGGGTGGGCACAAAGGGTGGGGAAGGAGTCCCAGAGGTGGGCAGTGGGGTCCAAGGCTGGGCACAGGTCCTGGCAGTAGGTGTAGGGGTCAAGGGGGTGGATGTAGGAGTCCAGGGGGTGGGAACAGGGTCCCAGTGGGATTATGGGGGTCTAGGATAGGCATGGGGTTCCTGGGGGTGACCATGGGTTCCAGGGTTGGGAAGTGGGCTCCAAGGAGTGGGTGTAGAGCATTCAGGAGGTGGGCACAGGGGCCTTGGTAGTGAGCAATGGATTGCAAGGGATGAGCACTGGGGGCGTGGGGGTGGGTGCAAGGGTGCCAGGGTTTGGAACTGTGGTCCAAGGGGTGGGTTATGGGGTCCTGGAGGTTGGTAATGTGGTCCCAGGTGTGGACACTGAGAGCACGGGGGGATCATGAGGATTCTTGGATTGGGAACAGTTCCAAGGGGTGAGCAGTGGGGGGTATGGGAGTAGATATGGGTGTCTCGGAATGGGCAGTGGGTTCAAGCAGTAGGCGTAGAGGGGGCACAGGCATCCCATGGATGTGGGCAGTAAAGTCCCAGAGGTGGACACTGAGGTCCTGGTGGCACGTATGGGTGGCACAGAGGTGGGCAGTAAGTTCAAGGAGTGGATGCTGAGGTCCTGAGCGGGGGCAGTGGGGTTCAAGGGGAGGGCACAGGAGTCCTGGGGTGAGTATGGAGGTTCTGGGGTGGGCATTGAGGGCATGGAGATGGACACAGTGTTGTTGACACTTTCTCCGCAGTGCGCCTCGCTGATGCTGATTGAGAGCACACGGGACTCGCTGTGCTTCAGCGTGGCACACTACAAGCACATCAAACAGCAGTATGCCCTGCAGGTAGGGGACATGGGGCATATGGGGTGGGGGGTGGTGGGACTCCCTTCCCACCTAATGCTGCCGTTGCCCCCACCCCAGGCTAAGAGTGCAGAGGAGAAGCGGGTATGGACACACCACATCAAGCGGCTCATCCTGGAGAACCATCACGCCATTGTGCCACAGAAGGTGAGGGCACACACCCTCGTGTCACCCCATTTATGTCTTGGTGGTGGGGACATCCTGCAGTGCCACCTTCTGCCACCGATTGACCCATGGCTTCTCCCCCCACCAGGCCAAGGAGGCCATCCTGGAGATGGACCTGTTCTGTGAGTGCTCCTATGTCCCCCGTTGTCCCCTTGTCTCTCGCTGTCCCCCATCATCTCCCATCATCCTCCTTGTCCCCATGCCCACCATTGTCCCCACTGTCTCCTTGTCCACCACTGTCCCCCCACTGACCCCATATCTGCACCGTCACCATTGTCTACCATTATTTCCATGTTCCCCACTGTCTTTATGTTTCTTATCATCCCCACTGACCTCTTGTCCCCATCATCCCCATGTCCCCCACCATCTCCACATCCGCCATTGTCCTCTTATCCCCTATTGACCCTATATTCTTTTGCCCCTCATTGCCCCCATGTGTCAATCATTCCCCACTATCCCCATGTCACCTGCTGTCCCCTTGCCCCCCACTGTTCTCACACCCCCCTCATCACTCTGCTGTCCATGCAGACCCCCCCCGCCTGCCCCGCTGCAGCCCTGAGCACCTGCCCCGGAGCCACTCCTGCCACCCCTTAGAGCCACCACGCCATGGCCGGCGGCAGTCTGGTGAGTGTCCCCATGTCCCCATAGCCCTTGTGGTGATAGCACTGTGCTGATCTGTGTATCTTCCCCAAATGCTTTCCGACCCACCAGAGCCCTTCCAGTGTCGTGACCGTGCTGAGACGCTGCCGGACCGACTGCAGGGGCATGTGGGGCGCAGGCAGTCAGGTGCGGATGGGGATTGGGGATGGGTGGGGGACTTGGGGACAGTGCCACTGCAGCTCCGTGACACTGCTGTGTGTCCCCACAGAGCCCGCCAAGCAGATCCTGCAGCAGCTGGGAAGGATGAAGGTAAAGCTGGGTGGTGGGGGACTGCCCCTCTTGGCAGCACCAAGTAGGTGCTGAGCCCTTGCCTCCCTCCCCACCACCCAGCATGCAGGCAGTGAGGGGACCCTCCTGGATGCTGGGGAACCCCTCCAGCCCCCTAGGAGCTGGGCTGAGGATGTCGTGGAGGAGGAAGAGGAAGAAGAGGAGCCTTTGCACAAGGACAGCCACGAGGATGGGGACAGGGACGAGAATGGGGACATGGGAGAGAAGCCCCAGGAGGAGCAGGTATCCTTGCCCTTGGGATGGCCCACATCACTTAAGGAGCACACTGCAAGTGTTGTGATCCTCACTGCTGCAGCTCCCTCAACCTTTCTTCTTGCAGGAGACCTGTGAGCGGCACCACGAGGACACTGCCACCCCTGTGTCCCCTGTGTCCCCTCCGTGCCACGGGGAACATGAGGGGCTGGGGACCCCCACTTCCCCCTCTCCATCGGGATCCCTCCCACCAGCGGGGCTGCCTGACGAGGAGGAGCAGCACCCAGAGACAGGCACCGGGGAGGACCCACGGGCTCTCAGCAGCGAGGAGGAGGAGGAAGAGGAGGAGGAGGAAGGCCATGGGAGTGGCAGCATCCTGCCCCCCTCCGTGCTGGACCAGGCTAGCGTCATCGCTGAGCGCTTTGGCAGCAGCATGTCACGCCGTGGCAGCATGGTGCTGGATGGACGCAGCGGCAGCACCCTCAGCCTTGATGGGGTGACCCCTCCACAAGAAAACATGGAGTCCTGCAGCCCCCTGCCCTCCCCAGGCTCCCCCCAGGGCTGCCGGCGCCGCTCGCTGCTCTCCACCCAGGACCGGCTGCTGCTGCGTAAGATCCGCAGTTACTACGAGCACGCGGAGCACCAGGACGCTGGTTTCAGCATCCGGCGCCGTGAGAGCCTCTCCTACATCCCCAAAGGACTGGTGAGGAACTCGGTGTCCAGGATCAACAGCTGGCCTCCTCTGGAGCCGGGCAGCCCCAAAACTCCCACGGAGCCGGTGAGCCCCAAAGTCCTCCTGGAGCCAGGGAGCCCCAAAAGCTCCCCAGAACCAATGAGCCCCAAAAGCTCCCCAGAACCAGTGAGCCCCAAAACGTCACTGGAACCAGCAAGTCCCCAAGTGTCACCGGTGCCGGATGGAGGAGTGTCACCTCCTGTGTGCCGAGAGAATGGGCTGCCCGAGCCTCCCGCAGAACCTCTGCTCATCCTGGAGGAAGAGGAGGTGCCTCCCCCCCCAGAGGTGCTGGCTCTAGGGGCTCCCCCTCGACGTCTCACCAGCAGGGTGTACCAGCTGGCGCGCCAATACAGCCTGCGCATCAAGAGTCGACGCCGTGCCATCATTGCACCGGGGGACAATGCCTCTCACACCCCAGAACCGGGTGGGATGCAACGGGGGACCGCAGGCATCGTCCCGCTACTGCCATCCAGCTCTCACCCTGCTCCTTCCACTCCAGGTGTACCAAAGCTGCCGGTGTCACCCAGGGATGGCATCACCATCCCAGCCCCACGCAGCCCACCCAGCCCACCCAGCCCCAGTGGCACTGCCGAAGCCTTCTCCTGGCCAGATGTCCGGGAGCTGCGTGCCCGTTTTGGAGCCCCACGGCCCCCACCGGTGACACGCAGCCGCTCTGCGCCTGAGGGGCCAGAGCGTGGGGGGAGACCAGCAGCCAAAGAGCAGCAGGGTGGGGGCCGCAGCCGCAGTGCTGAGGCAGGCACTGGGACCCCAAAAGTGCCACGTGGCAATGAGCACCAGCATGCTGCGGGGCTGTGGGTGACGGCACAGGCACCTCTGGGCCCCGGCGGGCAGCGGGTGCTGGTTTTGGAGCGGTTGCCCTCCACCATCGCTGCTGAGCCCCCAGCCTATGTGCAGATCCGCTCCCCCACCACCCGGGAGAAGATCTGCCTGAAGGCAGTGGTGGAGCGCTGCAAGGCTTACCAGGCCTCCGAGGAGTACCGGCAGCGCTGTGCCCAAGGCCAGGCTGAGGCACCCGAGCCCCCCCCGGCACGGCCTCGTCAGGGACCTGCGGCAGAAGTTTCAGACCCTCGACACTGCCAGCTAGGGAGGGCGGCCAGGAGATGGGGCAGCCCATGGACCACCAGGAGATGGGACAGTCTATGAACCCCTGGGAGATGGAGCACCCCGTAGACCACTGGAAGATGGGGCATCCTATGCACCACCAGGAGATTGAAGGCACCTTGCACCATCAGCAGATGGGACATCCCACAGACAACCCTTCTCCTCAGCTCACTCAGACCAAAGGGTACCCAGCTGACTTGGGAGAAGTTGTACTCAATGGACCCCATGAAGGGGCATACAATGGAACCCAGCTTGCTCAGGAGATAGAGCACCCCATGATGGACCACTGGGAATTGGGATGTCCCTTGACCACCAGGAACTGGGACTCCCTACCACCAGCAGCAGTGGGACTCCATGAACCTTTTGTTTCCCCAGGATAAGGGGGACCTCGTGGACCATCAGGAGAGGAATCACCCCATAGGCCAATACATGAAAGTGACCACGGTCCCCCACCCTACTTCCCGGAAGGGCCCTCACATTGCACAGCCCTGGGCCACCTTGCTTTGACATCTTTATTACAAAAAAAATCCCAAACCAAACCCAAAGTTCTCCCTGCCCGCACACTCCCCCCAGAGACGAGTGGTGCCCCCCACCCACAGCAAGGGGCCAAGCATTTGGGGAGGTCGTGCTCTTCGTGCTCTTTGGTTGGTGCCCGTGGGGCTGAGGGCACGCTGGTAGGAGGGGGGGGTGGGAGGGCTTATGGCTTAGAAAAGGGGGTAGGGGGCCAGGATGTGCCCACGTGGAGTGGGTGCATGTGCATGCATGCGGGGCCACGCGAGTGCAAACACACACAGGTGTGTTCCCCAGGGGGGTGGGGGATGTGAGCACACACGTGTGCGTATCTGTGCGTGCGCCTCCACTGAGGTGCGTGCATGCCCTGAAGCATGGAGATGTGTGTATATATATAAATATAAATATCTATAAATATATATATATATATACACGTGCGCACTTGCGTACGTGCTGGGCTGCCCCATCCCCCCCCCCCCCTTGTTATTTCTTCTTGGGGAAGAAGCTGAAGCGCTTCTCCTTGTCCCGTCGGGGCTCAGGGGGGGCGTGGGGTGGGGGCAGGCTGCGCGCCTTGGCCGGCAGGTTCTGACAGGAGGTGATGGCCATGTGCAGCCCCTGCAGCCACGTCTGCATCTCCTCCTGGAGGGGCATGGGGCTGTTGGCACCCCATGGCCCTGGGGGTCGCCCCACGGCTTGACCCGGGAGCGCCAAGACACCCAGTGTCCCCGCTGGGCACCTCTGCTCACCCCAGTGTCCCGTTGCCATGCTATGTCCCCCCGGGTACCACCGTGTCCCTCTTGGGTATTTCTAATCAATGTCCCATGGTCACTTTATGTCCCACTAGGCATCAGTGAACACCACCAAGTCCCACTCGGGCACCTCTGGTTACCCCAGCATCCCCTAGGCACCACTGGCCAGCCCTTATCGATTTGGGCCCCTCCAGCCACCCTCGTGTCCCATGGCCTACCTGTGTCACCCATCGCCCCAGCATATTCCTCTGCACACCTCTCACCATGCTCACATCCCACAGCTGCCCTATGTCTCTCTGAGCAGCACTATGTACCTCTATACACCTCTGATCACCCCAATGCCCTCTGGCTACCACTAGCCAACACAATATTCCCCTGGATGTTACTAACCATCTTTTGTCCCCTTGAGTACCGTTGGCTACACCAATGTCCCATGGCTTACGTCCCCTTGGGTATCACAGGTCACCTCCGCATACCCCTTTGGCCACCCTAATGTCCCCTTAGGTGCTGCTGGTCATGCCAAGATCCCTCTGGCCACCCTCCAGCACCCCCATGCACCACTGTGGAGAACCTTTACTTGCTTGGGCACCTCTGGCCACCTCAATGTCCCCTGGCCACCCCATTCTTTGTCCCCTTGGCCACCCCAACATCCTGTTGGCCACCCAATGCCCCCAGGACACCCCTCACCTCATCCTTGCCATGGAAGAGCCACTCGCTGCCATTGCTGAGCCTGGGGGCAGAGCACAGCTGGTGGTGAGACATCTGCCACCCTGTGGCTCACCGCGCCAATGCCATGCCATGACACAACCATGCCGTACAGTGCCACAATCGTGCTGTATATTGCCATAACCATGCAGCTCCATGCCATAACCATGCAGCTCCATGCCATAACCACATCGGACCATACCTGAGCGCAAAGACGTGCTTCTTCTTCTTGTAGCCAGCAGCCACCTGGCAGCGTGCGTTGCGCAGCCCCAGGGGCTCCTCACCCTGGCAGGGCACCCCCAGTGCCCGGCTTTTGGCATCCTTGAAGAAGGCAAGCTCCTCACCCCGCAGCACGCAGTACCGCGTGCTCCACGACCTGTGGGCAGCTCCGTCACAACTGGGCCACCTCCGCAGCCATGGGTGGCCACTGTGCTGTGCCTACCTGTTGGATGCACGCTTGGTGGCCGCCTCCAGGTCGTGCTTGCGGCCCAGGTAGCCCTCCAGCTGAACGTGGGCAGGCTGGGCAGGCAATGTGGCTACCTCTTCCCGTGGCGCTATGGGCTCCTCCTCGGGCACTATCAGCTGTTGCAAAGCAACAGCCACGTCACTGCCCATCCCCACTGCTGTCACCTCCCAGAAAGCCACCTCCCATGGGACCTCCCCATTGTGCCATCCCCAGTGGGGACACGTGAAACACAGGTACCAATGTTGGGGATGGCCATTCCACGCTTGGTGACGCATGGGAGCTGGCAGCCATTTTGGAGCCACCACGGCATGGGACCTCTGAATATGGTGCCAGTGCTTGGGGACAGTGGCACGCGGTGGATGAAATGCTCAGGGTGAGGCTTTGGGAAGAAGCATGGTTGGATCCGGAGCATGGCAATCGTATCCTTCACATGGTGGTGGTTTCAGGCCTTTGCTGGAGATGGCAGCAGTGAGCCACGGGGAGTGCCTGTGGCGTGTCCCACCAAAGGGGAACAGGATACAGGAGGCTGTCCCCATGTGACTGTCCCCAGGAAGGACAAGCTTAGTGTCCCCAAGCTTGCAGGAAGCAGTCTTGTCCCAAATCAGGCAGACCCTGTTCCCAAGGAGATAGAAGTTCTTCCCAAGCAGCAGAAGTAATCTTGTCCCCCAATAGAAACTTGGGGATCCCTGTCCCCAGAAGTGATCTTGTCCCCAAGGAGCCAGAAGATGTCCCCAGAGAGCCAGATGTTCCCAAGCGGGCAGGAGAGGCAGTAGGGTTTGTTGTCCCCAAGCAGGCAGAACAATCAGAAAGCAACTCCTGTCCCCAAGCAGGCAGCAAGGAGCAGAGAGAGTGGCAGCAAGCATGAAGTGGCAGCACAGAGGGTGACAATGCCAGAGGGTGGCAGTGCCTTGTGGGGTGACAATGACTTTTGGGGTGACGATGTCCAATAGGGTGATGTCCCCATGGGGTTATGATGCCCCTTGGGGTGATGATGCTCCATAGGGTGATGTCTTCCAGGGTGACACCCCCATGGGGTTACAATGTCCCATAGGGTGACATGGAGTGACGATGCAGCACAGGGCGATGACATCTTGCAGGGTAATCCCCAGAGGTTGGTGATACCTCCAGGCATTGATGATGCCTCATAGGGTGACATCCTTATGGGGTGACGATGCCTTGCAGGGTAGTCAATGCCTTGCAGATCAGTGATGTCCCTTGAGGTGATGATGCCCATAGGGCGATATCCCCTTGGGGTGACCATGCTCCAAGGACACAAAGGAGGGAACCAACACAGGCACATCCAACCAGAAGCACCATCACCACGTGCCCTTGTCCCCAAGAAGCCAGTTGTCCCTTCCAAGCCAGGACAGAGCCAGCTTGAACAGCTAGGTGCCATGTGGTGGTGGCCATGCGGTGTCTCTGTGACTTGGGTTTACTCCTGGGACAAATGCCAGTAGGGATCTGTCTGCTCCAGAGTGTTTGGCTCTGTCTCTGCCCTGTGCACCCATGGGTGCCAGCCTCTGCCAACCACCCTGAGCCCCCGCTGGGCTCCCATCCATGGGACGCACTCTGGCAAAGGTACTGCCCTTGTGCCTGCCTGATGATTTGGGGTCATTCAAAATTTATTCAATTCAATGCAAGCAACAGCCAAAGGGCTGGAGGTACGGGTTGTGTCTGTTCCTGCTGCAGGATGGGAGGGAGAGCGTAAAGGGACAGGGACCAAGGGATATCTGCAGGGACATGTCCAGGGGCAGCAGTTGGCATGGTGGGGCCATGGGGTCCCTGGTTCTGGGGAAGGAGAAAGCTAAAAGGCAGAACTGACCGGCTGGGGTCCATCGACAGCAGGTGGAGAGATTTCCTGAGGGATCACTCCCTTCCTCTTCTCCTCCTCCTCCTCAGACCTGCAGATGGAGATGGTGCTCAGCATCCCAAAGGATGGAGGTGGGAATAGAGGGAACCCCCAAAATCAGTATAGCAGTGGATTTGGGAGTCAGGGGCATGAACCTGGGGCTTTTGTGCTTTCTTCCGAGAATTAAAAGCTCCAGAAAGGAGCAGTGCTGTGGGTCAGCTGCTTTGCTTGCATGGCTTTTGCTCAGAAAAGGTGTATTGCTAAAAATTCCCTGCTTCAAGGGAAGGTGCTGTCATTTAGAGACATGGGAACTACACCCCTTACCCTGCCTTTAGCTCCGCATCCAGATCCAGATGACGTTCAGGAGCAGTGTCGTGCACCACATCCTTCTCCTGCAGTGTCCGCCCACCCATGAGCTCCAGCTGCCAGGGAAGAGGATATGGAAATCAGTGGGAATCCAGCCATGTCCTCTTGCCACCCAAAGGGCCACCAGCTCACCGTCGTCAGCTTCCTCAGGGCAGCGATGCGCTCCTCCCACGTGGCTGTGGACTTCTCAAAGGCTTCGTGTCGTTTCAGCAACTTCTCCACCGCATCCACCGTCTGCCCATAGTCGCTGCTGGCCAGGTATGGCTCCTGTGCCATCAGCCACGACTCAGCCACTGAGGCATCCCGGGAGAACTGGCACACCTCCAGCACTGCGGGAAAGGGACAGCATTCAGCCCCCCAGCATGGGAACCCCAAAAAAAGCACAGCCGACCCAAACCCCATCACCGCACTCACACAGCTGCAGCCGGTCCCACCGCTGCTGCCACATCTCCATCATGGCCTTCCTCCTGTCCAGCAGCTCCATCAGCTTTGCTTTGATCTGCAAGAGGTGGCTGTCATGAGGAGGGCCTTTCCTACTGTCTCCCCACCCCGAGGGGCTGTTACCCACCTCAGGTGACTCCCGGTGTTTGCGCTGCAGCAGCTTCTTGCCTAGTTCAATGCAGGCAGCAAAGCTCTTGTCACGGGCATCTATCTCAGCGCGGATGCCTTGGTGGTACTTCATGAGCAGCTCCACCGAGGAAACGTCCCTGGCGGGAGAGGTTGGGAATGGAGTTGTTGAGGATATGGAATTGTCAGGGATATGGAGATGTCAGGGGGGCGGAAACATGAGGCATGGAGATGATGGGGATACAGAACGTCAAGGGGATGGAAGTGTTGAGGATGGAGCTGTTGGGAGTGACAGTGTTGGGAAACATAGATTTTGTGGGTCAAAGATTTGAGGGGATGGAGAAGAGGAGCAGAGATGTTGGGGATGGAGGTATAGGAGGTTGGAGTTGGTTGGATGGAGACAGCGGGGAATGAAGATGTTGTGGGATGGAGATAGACACGTCAAGGGATGGAGGTGAGGGCTAGAGATGTTGCGCATGGAGACATCAGAGGACAGATACGTAGGGGGAAGAGATTTGGGAGAAGAGATGGAGATGGAGGACGGAGATGTTGGAAATGGTGGTGCTGAGAGTTGATGGAGATGTTGAGGTTGTGCCCTACTGGTGAGCAGGGAAGTGGGACCCCCACCCATCTGCACCTACCTGGGTTTCTCCTGCGTCTGGATCTGCCGCACAGTGCTCTCCATCCAGGAGAGCAGGTCACGCGCCATGCTGAAGAAGCGGAACTTGTCGGCTGTGTCCACCAGCTGCGCCCGGCGTCCGCTGCATGCTTCCAGCAGTGCCTGCAGCGCCCGTGCCACCTCCTGCTCCTGCTGCTGGATGCTGACTGCCTTCTCCCCAGCATAGGCAGTCTGCAGGCGAGCTGCCACCTCTCGAAACTGCTGCACCTGCCCCTCCAGCAGCTGGAGGTCACGCTCAAAGGCGCTGTGCATGCGATGGAAAGCCTCCACTGAACCTGAGTCATCACCCAGGTCCTGGGGCAGCTCCTGGTGGCGGGCAGCAATGAGGGCCAGCAGCTCAGAGCCATCATAGAAGTACTTGTGCAGATCATAGGAGGTGGCCAGCAATTGCATGCGTGTGTCAATCAGCTCCAGGAGGTCAGCCCAGCTCTCATTCAGACCGTCTTTCCACTCAGCTATGGTGGCAGCCTCGGCGTGCCCCGCATCGATGAGGTCCTCGATGGCCAGGTTGACCTGGTCCACACGTTCCTGTCCTATGCTGCCTGTTTCCCGTGCAAACTCCCGAAACTTATCCCTCAGCATCTGAGGTGGGAAAGAAAAGATGGGTTCACCACCCAAAAATGACCCACTGTCATCATCTCCATCATCACCATCACTACCCTCTCCGATGCAATCATCACCATCATCTCCATCACCACTAACATCTCCATCATCATCTCCATCTCCACCACCATCTCACCACCATCACCATCTCACCATCTCAGCATCTCACCACCATCACCATCTCCAATTCCAACTCCATGTTCAGCTCCATCTCCACTGCTGTCTCCATCTTCCCTGTCACCATCACTTTCATCACCATCTCCTCTACCATCTCCATCACCACCACCACCATCACTGACTCTACCTCCATCACCACCATCACCATTTTCATCTTCATCACCACCTCCACCACCATGCACATGCCAGTGGGCTCACCGTGACATGGTCCAGGTCCTGCCCCAGCTCCTGGGAGGAGGCTGCCACATCACGCTCTGCAATCCACTGCTCCAGGTCCTCCACCTCACGCTTCAGCTGGAAGAGGTGGCACATGTTCTCCAAGCGCCGCCGGCGCTCCTCGGCCGCCTCCTTCAGCCCCGCGTAATACTTGTCCACCTGGCCCTGCAGCCGGATGATCTGCTCCCTGCGTGGCCCCAGGCACACAGACATCTCAGTTTGCACCCAAACCTGCTGGTCTTGCCATGTCTCAGGGCTTTTTTTCAGAAGGACCCCCCACGGATGGGCTCCCCACATCCCTCCACTGCTACCACTCAGGTCAGTGAGTGTCACTGAAGTGCCATCTCATCCAGGCACTGCAGCCATGGGGCTGTCCCCAGGATGGGGACATGGATGGTTACACTTACCCCTCAGGGTGGCCAGCAGAGAGCAGCTGCTGAGCCCTCCCTGCCAGCTCCTTGATGGTCTGCCCATAGTCCTCAATGGAGCGTTGCTGCCTCACGTGTCTCTTCAGCATCACCAAACCACTTTCCTCGTCCTGCAGCAGGAAGGGCACCAACGAAAAGTCAATATATGGCATGGCCAAGAGATGGTGGCCAGGGTTCAACCCTAGTGCCCACCCTGCGGAATTGTCCCACCTCCCTCCAGTGCAGAAGGAAGTAATGGTGGGCTCATCATGGCACGGTGTGGTATGCAATGGATGGCACGGAATGCAATGTAACGGCACATGATGGCATGTGATAGGATACTGCGTGTTGGGATGGGATGGCATATCATGGCATGTGTTAGTGTGTAAAGGCACACACAGCATGGGGTTGGATAGTGTAATTGCATGGTATAGGATGCCATGGCATGGCATGAAAAGGCATATAATGGCATTGGATGCTATGACATGGCAAGGCATAGCGTGGCATGGGATGACTTCTGATGGCACAAGATGACCTGTAACAACATGGTGATGGTGTGGCATGGGATGATGTGTGATGGCATGGCATAGTGTGCCAATCATGGCAGTACATGGGACAGCACGCAGTAGCAGAGCATGATATTCCAAAGACTGCAAATGATGGCACAGCATGGCATGACATGACTCTAGAGTCATCTCACGGTACAGGATATTGTGTAACGGCATAGCATGGTGTGGGATGGCATGGCAAGGTGTGGACGGTATAGCATGGCATGGGATGGCATGTATTGACAGGGGATGGATAGATGGCACACAATGACACACGCCACGAGATGGCATGTCCTGGCACAGCATGGGACGATATGGCATGGGATGGGGCATAACAACACAGGATGGCATGTAGGACACTGCATGGCACGGAGTCCCCAGAAGACACTGGCAAACAATGCAGAGCCACCCTCACCTTCGGCTTCTCCTCATCTCCCATGAAAAGCTCCTGCTCGCTGACCCACATCTCAGCCTCGCCAGCATCCAGGTAGTACTGTTGGGCCTCGCTGGCCTCCCGCAGCCTCTGCTGTCGAGCAGCCACTTCTTCCCTCAGCGCCTCCCACTGTGCCCGCAACTCCCGTGCCCTCTCCGCCAGCTCCGGGCAGGATCCTTCAGCAGCCGCCTCACCACGTTCCAGCACCTCGGCCAGGCGGGGGGCATGGCCTTGCAGCTCCTTCTGAAGAGTCTGCAGTGGGGTCAGGGTCTTAGGGGCTGTGTGTGGTACCGCACCTCCCTGGGTAGGTCAGTGGGTGCCATGGCGGCATACTCACCTCATTCCTCTTGGCCAAACGCTGCACGCTCTGGAGGTTGGTGCCGTGCTCGGTTGACCTGGCCCATAGCATCCTCTCCTGCACCCATAACTGAGGACAAGAGCATCTGCTCAGCAATGTATGCCCCTAGTCCTGCAGCCCAGCCCTGCAGCCCCCGCTGCCACCATGGTGCTCACCATCTCGTCCTCCAGGTCCCTCCCCAGCTGGTACATCGCCTTGGAAGTTTCCAGCTCCTTCCTCTTCTTCTCCAGAGGCTTCAGCAGGTCAAGGAATCGCTGCTGGAGCTTCTCCTCCTGCCCATCAGGCTCTGGTGTGACCCCAGCAAGTGGTGCTTTCAGCTCCACCAGCTCCTCCTGTCGTGCCGCCACCTGCTCCTCCAGCCGCTGGGAGGGGAACGCCATCAGGTCCCATGCCTGAGGTCATTCCTCATGCCAGAACACCCCATCCCCATGCCACGCACCGTCAGCTTCTTGAGCAGTAAGTTGGCCCCAGTGAGGTCCTTCGCACGCTCCGTGCTGTGCAGCTCGCCTTCTACCTGCCCCAGCCAGCGCTCCAGATCACTGTAGCTCTGGGCATACAGCTCAGTGCGGTTGGCCTCAAAGAGCTGCTGGCCCTTCTCCGTGGCAGCGCCGTGTAGCTCATTCCACAGCGCCTGCAGCTCGTCCAGCCGCCGGCCCACCACTGCACCGTACTGTGGTTTGCAGCTTGCCAGCTCCATGCCCTCCTATTGGCACAGTGATGAGCTCAGTGAGCACCACATCCCCAGGCCATGGCACATAGCCATCTCGCCTCACCGGGACTCACCACTTTGATCTTCTCCAGCCATGCCTCATTGGCTGCCAGCTCTGCCATAAAGGCTTGGTGCTTCTGCCACTTGCCATGCAGACCACGTGCATCTCCATAGGATGCATCCTGCACTGTTAGCATCTTCTCATCCACCCAAGCAGTGAGCTGCAGGCAGGGTGAGTGTGTCATGGCTCGGCCATGGGCACCCCACTGTGCCACCAACCGTGCTGCTCACCCACCTCTCGGCAGCTCTGCAGGAAGCTCTGCAGCTTGTGGTTGTCCTGCAGCAAGCCCGCTGCTTCCTCTGCCTTGGCCACATTCGCCTTGTGCCTGGCATGGGGACACAAGCACAGACATCACCCCACTGCCACACCACAGTGCTGCCCATCGGCCCCTCGCCGACTCACCGCTCCTGCAGGGCCTGGTTCTTCTCACTAATCTTCTCAGAGAAGATATTTCCCTCTGCCACGAGCTTGGAGCCACTGGTCACCACACTAGGGACTTTTTCAGCGCTGCTCTCCATGGAGGCACGGAAATCCTCAAAACGGCGTAGGGCAGCTGTGGAACCCTCCAGTGTGGGGGGTAACTCCAGGTGGGCCAGTGTGTACTCCTAGAGGGCACAGGGGGCTCAGCATCTTAATCAGGGCTCCATCAGTCCTCCCCTGTGATGGGGAGGGACACCGTGCCCATTGGGGCTCTCCATTGCAAGGACCCAACCCCAAGAGCATGAACCCAATCTCAAGAGCATGGCACAATCGCACCCTGGATGCTTTCCACTGCTTGAACCCAACCCCAAATGCATGGCACAACCATGCTGTGGGTGCTCTCTGCTGCATGGATCCAAGCCCAAGAGCATGGCACAGTCTGAGCGCTCTCCATCACATGGACCCCACCTTACGTGCACAGCACAACCATGCCTTGAGTGTGGATCCAATCTCAAGCACACAAACCTAACTGCAAGAGTATGGCACAGCTGTGCCCTGGGTGCTCTCTACCACACATCCCCACGTCCCTCACCCACCTGGTTGGTGAGGAGAATCTCAGCCTGTTTGGCATCGCGCAGGAACTCCTGGAAGCCCAAGCACTGGGCAAGGAAGCGCTGCCGGGCATCCCACATCTTGTGCAGGGCTCCCCAGCCTGCCTCCACACCCCGCAGCCGCTCCCGCAGCTGCTCATACTCAGGGTCCTCCTGATTGCTTGTCACCCGCTTGCCTGCCTCCAGCAGCGCCGTGAAGGCAGCTGCGTGCCCCTCGGCATCCTCACGGGCAGCCGCATGCTTCCGCAGCAGCTCTTCTGCCTCACCCACTGAAGTCGGCACCTCTTCAGTGGCTGCCACGGCTTTCTGTGCCCTGAAGAGCCACGCTTGGAAGTCATCCAGGTCCTGCAGGAAACTCTGCAGCTGCCCCACTTCTCCCAGCGCAGCCGCTCGGTCCCGCAGGGCACCCTGCAGCCCGTCCATGGCATCCTGCGCCCCTGCTAGCCGCCTTGCCGTGTCCTCGGCCAACTCAGGGCGCTCCTGGGCCAGGAGGGTGGCTTGCGGACGCAGGGCATCCAGGCGGCTCTCGGCCGCTGTCAGCTCACGTTCGATGCCGTACAGCTTGCGCTGGGTGGCCAGGACGCCAGCCAGGTCATGGCCAAGCTCCCTCGTGGACTCCACCACCCGCGTCTTGCTCAGCAGCCAGGCGCGCGTCTCCTCGCACTCCAGTTGGAAGCTGAGCAGGTTGAGCGCCGAGCCCACTGCTGCACGCCGCTGGGACACCAACTCCCGAAAATGGTCCCACCTGCATGGCCAAGAGGGTCAAGGTGCGGAGCACGGTGGGGTGAGGAGCCCTCGCTGCTCCGGGACCTACCTCTCATTGAGCTGCTGCTGGCACTGCCGGACCTGTGGGCTGTGTGGGTGGCCGCTCTCCAGCAGACCGTCAGCTGAGCGGTTGACAGCATCAATTTGAGAAGCCACGCCAGCCATTTTCTGCTCCAGCCCATCCAGCCTGTGGGAAGTCAGGCTGAGAACGGGCTGCATCTCGTGACACTGCACCAAGAACTAGCCAGAGCTCATTGCGTGGGGCTGAGAACTGGCTGCAGACTGTGACACTGTGCTGCGGACTGCTCAGAGCTTGTGACATCGGGCTATGAATTGACCAAATCTCATGGCACTAGGCTGAGAACTTGCCAGAGCTCATGGCACTGGGATGAGAATTGGTCAGATCTCGTGACATCAAGCTGAGAACTGGCTAGCACTCATGACACCAGGCTGAGAACTGGCCACATCTCTTAACACTGGGCTGAATACCAGAGAGAACTCACAGCACCAGGCTGAGAACTGGCCAGAGCTCATGATAGCAAGTGGCAGCTCATCCATACCCTACCTGTGCTTCACCACATCCAGCTCCTCCAGTGTGTTGGGCACCTCCAGCTTCTCCAGCCACCGCTCCTTGGCGCCCATCCAGAGCTGGCAGGCTTCACTCTCTCCAAAAACAGTGTAGAGGTTGAGGGCATCCTGCAGCCTTCGGCCACGCGTCTTGGCCAGCGTGCTCACCTCGTGGTGCAGCTCCTGCAATGCTGCCAGGCGGTTGTGCGCCTCGGGGCCAGCCCGCAGCTCTGGTGGGAAGCCCTCTGCTTGCTGACCCAAGCGCTCCAGGAGATGCTGGGCAGCCGCCAGCTCCTCCAGCAGCTCCTGGTGCTCCCGCAGCAGTGCCTGCGTGTGGACTTCATCGTGACCCAGCTCCTCGCTGGCCGCTCGCTGCCGAGCCTCCGCCAGAACCTCTGCCAGTTCTTCAGCCTCTGCCTGGAACTGGAAGAAGCCCTCGGCCTCCCGCAGCCCACGGCGGCGGAAGGTCACCAGCTCCTGCAGCTGGTCCCATAGTACCCGCACGGCAGCTGCCCGGTCCCGCAGCCGCCCAGCATCACGCCCTGCTGCTGCCAGCTGCTCAGCCATCACCAGTGCCTTCTCCAGTCGGGCTCCCTGTGCCTCCAGCTCAGCCTCCAGTGCAGTGTGACGACGTCGCAGCAGCAGCACACCTGCCAGGTCTTTGCCGTAGTCCAGCGCTGAGTAGATCTGCTCCTGTTCCTTGATCCAGCTCTCTGCCTCGTCCAGCTCCTGCAGACACTGCCAGACAGCCCGGGACTGCTCCAGCAGGGCTTTACGCCTTGCCGCCAGTGCCTGCAGCTCCTGCCGGCACATCTCCAGGTGGTTCACACGGTCTCGGATCACTCTGGGGTCACAGGGACGGTAGCCTGGCCAGGGAGCAGCAGGGGCATGCATTAGTGGGGCTCCTAAGGTGTGCTGCAGGAAGCATCCTGGTTCACTCAACCCCGAAGACACTTGTGCATGCACCTCTGGAGCAACTCCACCTTTAGAGGACTCAACTATTGGTACACTCAAAAACTGAAGAACCTTGGAACACCCAAAAACTGGAGTACCCACCCTTGGAGAACTCAACCCTTTGACTGCCCATCCCTTGGAGTGCCCAATCAGTAGACACACTTGGAGCATCCACCTCTGGAGCAACCCGACCTCTGGGGGACCCAAACCCTTGAGCACCCTCCCTTTGAATGCCAAACCATTGGAGCATCCAACCATTAGAGATCCTTGGAGTGCCCAATCATTGGAGCACCCAACCTTAGAAAATCCAACACTTAGAGTACCCAACCACTGGAGATCCTTGGAGCACCCAACCTTTGGAGAACCCAACCCTTAGAAACTCTCAGGAAACCCAACCCTGATGCACCCAACCCACAGAATGCCCAACCCTTGGAACCCCCAAAACTTTGGAGCATCCAACCCCTGGAGCACTCCCAACCCCTTGGAGCACACCTACCCTCAGCATCAGCAAATCGGAGGGCAGCAGCACTGATAGCCCGCACCTTCTCTGCCTGCAGTGCCATGTCACCTTCCAGCAGCCGGTGGGTCTCCAGAAGCTCCTCCACCTCAAGGAGGTGCTTCCCACATTCGGACGAGGCCAGCTGCACCTGTGATATACCTGGAGGTCAATTGCAGGCTACGAGCAGGTGGTGAGCACTCCAGCACCAACATTATCTCTGTGATGCATTCACCCAACCATGGATGCATCTCCTGCATCCATCACTTCCTGGCATAATGTGGGGCTGGTAGCTGCACGCTCCAAGCACCACATCTTTCTCCAGAACCCAAACACCCCATAACCACCTCTGACTCCCCAAGAAGCCCCACTGATCCCCTGTGTGGTGGGACCAAGGCACCATACTCATGCTGACTCCGAATCTCTTGCATCCACCTGCAGCTCACCTTGACCTCATCCATCCAGTTGATGCTGTGCAGCATCTCCTGAAAGAGGTGCTGAAGGGTGAGGTTCATCTCGAGGCGCTGGCGCCGGTTGCGCAGCAGCTCCTGGAGCTGCTCCCAGAGCCTCAGGATGTTGTCCTTGCGCCCCCTGATGCGTTTGATGTCGTGGTAGCCCTCCCTCTCCAGCTCTTTCGCCACTGCATCGATGGCCTGCACCCGTTCCTTGTAGGCAGCTGTGTCTGTCTCAATGGCCTCGTGTTTCTTCTTGGCTGCCTCCACTGCTGTCAGGTCTTGGCCAAAGTTATCCTGCTGGGAGCAAAGCCAGCAGTGAGGCAATGTCGGGGTGCCCCAATCCCCACAGTGGTGCTTGCTGGCCCCACCTGTGCCACCAGGCGTTGGTTCTCACTCAGCCAGGCCTCCCGCATGGCTGCTTTGCGGTCAAAGCGCCGCGCCAGCTGCTCCAGCTTCTCCTGCCGGATGAGCTCATTGCGCAGCGCCAACTCCCGCTCGTGCTCCGCTTTCTCCAGCTTCTCCCATGCCTGGGAAAAGGCAGAGTTGGGTGGTGGGACACATGTTCCGCATCCCACTGGCCATGCCTTGCTCTGCTGGTGAGTCCCAGTGTGCCACAAGGGTGGGGGAATATCGATGCGGAAACACAATCTGCTCCTAGATGGATCCACACTGCACTGCACTGATGGACTTAATCCAACACAAGATGGACCCAATCCACCTTAAGATGAAGCCCAAGTGCCCCAAGACCTTAACTGCCTCAAAGGTAGACCCAACTTCAACTCCACCTGCTCCAGGAGGAAATTCAAATGACCCAAGTTCTTAATTAAGAATTGGCTCCAAGATGAACCTAACCTGCCCCAAGATGGGCCCACACTGTTTCAAGATGAAGCCCAAATTCCCCAGGACCTGGACAACTCCAATATGGATCCAACCTGCCCCAACATGGACCCAAAATGCCCCAGGACTTAACTGCTCCAAGGTGGACCCAACTTGACCCAGGTGCACAAACACCCAGGATGGACACAACCTGCAACAAGGTGGACCTCACCTGGCCCAAGAGCTTAAATGCTATAGGATGGACTGAAAATGCTCCAGAATGGACACAATATGCCCCAAGACCAAGCCCAAATGCCACAAGACCTGAACTGCTCCAACACAGACCCTGTCTACCCCAAGATCTGAAATGCCCTCAGACAGACCCAAACTACCTGAAGTTCACACATGCCGAGAGGAACCCAACCTACCCCAAGGTGGACACAATCAGACTCAAGGGCCTAAATTACCCCGCAGTGGACCCAATACACCATGTGCCTCCATACCCGGTTGATGTCACAGACCAGACGCCCCTCTTGTGGTGTGTAGACACGCTGGTTGTTGGCTCGCATCCGAGACTGGATGGTGAAGAGCAGCACCTCCAGGTTGCCCTTCTCCTGAAACCTGAGCCAGCGAGAGCTCAGCCTGTGGCATCCACAGGTGCTCAACAAGGGCAGGAGGTGTGGGAGAAATGCTTACTTGGGTGGCTTCTCCACTGTGCGGTAGGTGCTGAAGGCCTGCAGCTGGTGCTGCACACCAGCCAGTGAGTTAGCGAAGCTGCGGCTGTTGAGGGAGACGATGGTCTGCTCGATCCAGGTTAGCAGGTTGGAGGCCAAGCCCCCATAGCCCTCGATCATCCGCTTGGTCTCCTTGGCATGCTCAATGACCTATGGCACAGCCAGAAGTGAGCACGGGGCATCCCGGCACTCTCCAGTGCCATGCCATGCCATGCCATCCCAACTCATCACCATTCTGACCTTGCCCAGCCTCCTGCCCTTCACCTCCAGTTTCTTCATCTCAGAGAAGTAATGGTAGAAGGCCACCACATAGGTGATGATGGACTTCTCATCGGGGTTCTCCGTGAACACATCTGTGCAGTGGCAGAGAGGTGTCAGCCCCAACCAGCACAATGGGGTGCCACCATCCCACGGTGTTGATGGGTCCCCACATTCACATCCCACGCAGAGCCACCTCTGGGGTTGTTCCACTTCTATCCCTCCATGGGTATGTCCCAAGGGGGGGGAAAATGAGGCAGGGGGACTCACCTTCAGGGTCAAGGAGCGGGGTGATGCCCAGGTGCCGCTCGGCCACGCTGAAGGCATGCTCCAGATTGTGCCGGGCGTTGGACTTGGTCAGAGTTTTGAAGTCAAACAGCTCAGGCCTGGGGACAGAGAGCACAGAGACATGTTGACACAGCTGGTACCGCTGACACTGTACCTATGCCAGCGGCTGTGCCATGAACCTGTGCTTGTGGATGAGGGCGTTGAAGGCCAGTCCGTCCTTCCAGCTGGAGGTGAAGTTGGTGACATTCACGTGAGGGTAGCTACGGCGAAGACAACAAAGGGGTCACCATCACCCTCTGTGCACCCCTGGGCCCCAAGGCCACTGACTCCACCTCCACCTACCCTGCTGTCTTCATTTGGCACCAGAGCAGCAGTGCGTCCCTGGGCGAGCGTGTCTCTGGACCCTCCTTCATCTCCTTGATGACATCTTGCACCTGTGGGACAGATTGACAACCCAAGATGGTGGAATATGGCTCCTGCTGGGGCACTGAGTCTGTGGGTGCCACCTGCCCACGGTACCTGGAAGCGGAGGATGATGGTCCAGATGAGGCCAAGGATGAGGCGGTGGTTGCCGTCCACAATGTCATGGGAGCCCATGTTCTCCAGGTGCACCTGCTTCTCCTTCAGGAACTGCAGCGCCTTATCCACGTTCTCCAGGCAGTGGATGCGCATCCGGCCCTTGGTGGGCTTGGGCTGGGGCACAAAAGCACTCAGTGTCCTGCCCTCACTGCCTGGCATGCCCTGCCCTGCCCAGGGACCCCCACTGCCATGCCCAGCAGTCAGGGCGCAGTACAAGGGGTGGCTTGGCATGGCATGCTATGGCTCAAGATGGCACGGGGTGATAGTATAGCAGGGAATGTAACACTGTGGTATGGAATGATGAGGCATGAGATGGCATGGCATGGGTTGGCATGGCATAGGATGGCATGGTACAGCATAAGATGGGATAGCAAAGGATGGCATGGCATGGGATTATACAGCGTGGAACAACACAGGATAGTATGGAAGAACATGGTATGGCATAGGATGGCATGGCATAGGATGAGATGGCATGGAAGGGCATGGAATGGCACAAGGTATGGGATGGCAGGGAAAGGTATAGCATAGCACAGCATGGCATGGCATGGCATAGCATGGTATATCATAGAGTGAGATGGCACCAGATGACACAGGATGGGATGGCATGGGATGTGATAGAGTGGAATGGCGTGAGATAGCACAGGAGGAAACAGATCACTGTGGTATGGAACAGCATGGGATGGGATGGCATGGCACAGCATAACATGGAATGAGACTGCACACACAGCATGGGATGTCATGGCACGTGATGGTATGGGATGGAACAGCATAGGTTGAGAAGGCATGGCGCAGCTATGCAACAGCACAGCATGGCACAGCACAGCAGGGCATGAGATGGCACAGGATGGACCCCAGGGTTTCTATCAGGAGGACACTCATACCAGCATCTCTTTGGATAGCACCTCCAGCAGTTTGATGAGCATCCGCCCGTCCCGGAGGTCCAAGTAGAGGTCGGAGATGCGGCAGGTGACGCAAGCCAAGTGCAGGTTCACCCACTTGGTGAAAGTCTTCTTCTGCACTGCCTCCCGCTCATCTGCAACAGGGGAGCAACCACAGTGACACCATCTCCAACTCATAGTGCCAGGGACTCCAGCGATCCAAACCCAGCCCCATACCTGCCAGCGCTTTGATGCGGGAGCGCTCAAAGAGTCGCGCTGAACTGTTGTCGTTGTCCAACTCATCGTCGGAGGCATCCCAGTGGCTGTAGGACTGCTGCAGCTCCAGATGGTCATAGTCATTCTCGGAGGTCATGGTCCCGGTGTCCCGCGGCTGTGTGGCCGGCGGCTATGGGGAAAGGACCCTCGTTGGGTGATGCGGGCACAGGCATGACCGCCCCGCTGTGCTGTAGGATTTGCAGCTAAGACCTGCCGCTTAATCAGCTCAGTGGGATTTAGCGTTGCTCCCAGGTGTTTGGGTGCTCCCCACGGCTGTCACCCCATATGGGTCCCACAGCATCCATGGGTGGCACCCAAAGGGACTGGCACTGACCCACGCCTGCGCCGGAGGGGCTTTAGGCAGACAGCAGGCAACAGCTGCTGGTTCAGGGGGGACGGGGAGGGGACGACCGCCCTCAGGGACATTTGAGCCACAGATAGGACCAGCCGGTATCTAAAAATGCTGCCAGCAGCTGCCGGCCGCCCTGGGGCCCCTGAAGGGTGTGAGGAGCCAGGCTGGGGGCTGTCACCTCCAGCACCCAAAATCCTCACACCTTCTTTGTGCTGTGGGGTTTGCCCAGTTGGGACTCAGCACCTGTGGATGTATGGCACACTGAGGTGTCCCCCATGGGGCGACCCCAAGGGCTGTGAGGGTTTCGGGGGGAAAAAACCTGCGCGCAGGGGGGGTTATCGGGGCCAGCCAGGCTGGGCTGGGTGCTGTGCTGTGCCCTAATCTTAGTGGTGCATGTGTGAGTGAGGCTAGGGAGGGGTGTACATGCAGAGCATGCAGGAGCAGAGCACACAGCATCCTAGCACCGTGCCAGACAGTACCTCAAAAACACTCCAACCGTGGGGAATCCCATATGTGGGAACCCTCCCACACGTGCTGCTGAGCAGTGCCATGCCTCTGCGCCTGCCATGCCAGCGGGCAGCCAGCATCCTCCTGCTCCTCCCCAATGCTGGCAAGGCCCCCAACGTGCCGCCAGTGCACACTGACAGCGTAGGGAGCGCTGACCCTTCAAATCTGCCTCTGCCACCACCAGGAAAACACAGAGCCCAGTGGGGTCACAGTGTAGGGCATCCCACTTGCCCCCTGCTGCCTTCCCAGTCTGCTGCTCAGTGCCGTGAATCAGCACTTCCCTGGGCTGGCATTGAGCTGCCACCACAGTGCCCACACTGTGCCCGGTGATCCCGCTGCTTGGTGCCCTGAGCCCCTGCCACCCTCTGTGGGTATCCCGGACAGGGGTACAGGAGAACAGCAGCGTATGGGATCCCCATTCACCCCAAAAGAGTGAGTCTATGGGGTGCCAACACTCAGCATCACCCCAAATCTCCATGACCAAAGTGGGTTCAGAGCACTGCTGTGGGAGGAGGGTTGGCACTGTGTCCATCAGTGGCACAGCATGGCACGGCACAGAATGGCATGGCATGGCACAGAATGGCATGGCACGGCACGGTATGGCACGGCACGGCACAGCTCCCTGGGGCCCCACAATGCCTGTCCCTGTCCCGCTGTCCCTGCAGTCGCCCGCCGGTGGCACACACACGTGCTGCCACGCTGCGTGCATTGCCAGCTATAAATAGGCCTGGGCTCAGCCCCGCTCTCTCTCTAGAGCAGGGGGCACCCACAACCCAGTAGACCCATATGAGACCCCAAAACTCCGCGGCAACATCCCACAGTGGGGCTGTTCACTGTGGCACCGAACCCAGCACAGCAGCGGCGAGCATAGAGAAAAACACCCCACTCTGAGCGAAACCGAACCCAAAGGATTGGGACACCCCGATTGGGGCACCTCAAATGGCAGCACCCCACGCTGGAACACCCTACACTGGGGCACCCCGCATCGGGACGCCCCACATCGGGGCACCCCATGGCTGCATCCTCCCCCAAGGACACCGAGCGGAACCCCACCCCCCGTTGGGTGTCCCCAGGGCGCTCGGGGACGTCCATCCCCACCGCCCCCTCGGTCGTCCCCCCGCCCCCCGGTGCCGCACTCACCTGCGCGCGGGGCGGCGGCGGTTGCGGGAGGGCGAAGGGCGGCGAGTGCGGGCGCGGAGCGGGGCGGGGGGAGCGGAGCCGCCGGGCGCCGCGCTATAAATACCATTATCGGAGCGCGCAGGGACATTCCTGCCCGGGGCCCGGCGCTGCCCGCCCCGATAGCCCCGCTCCCCCCAGGGCCGGGCTGAGGCGGGCGGGGACGCGGTGCCGCCCCGCAATGCAGCACAGCGGCCCCCCCCCGGCCAGCGCCGCCGGTACCGGGAGCGCCGGCAGGGTGGAGCGGGGCGGGGGGAGAGGGGAGGAAGCGGGGTGAGGAGCATTCCCAGTTAGTGATGGGTGACCCCAGCCGGTCCTAGGGGTCCCCCAGTTAGGACGAAGTGAGCCCCCAGTAGCTTTGTGTGTCTCCCAGTTAGTGCTGGCTGCCCCCAGTTGGCCCTACTTACCCATACGGCTGGGGAGTCCCAGTTAATCCTATGATTCCCCCCAGTTAGCGCTGGGTGTCCCCCCCTATAGCATCGGTTACCCCCTCATTTAGCACTGGGTGCTCCTAAGTACTGCTGGGTGCCCCTAATTAGTCTTAGGTGAACCCCTCAGTTAGTGTTGCCCCCCAATAGCCTTGGGAGTGCTAAGTGCCCCCAGTTGATGCTGGGTGACCCCACTTTTTCCTGGGTGCCCCCAGTTAACCATGGGTGACTCCCCACTTAGCTCTGACCAACACACATTGGCCTTAGGTTCCCTCAAGTGAGAGCTGGGTGCCCCCATTTAGCGCTGGGTGCCCCTAACTAGCCCGAGGGACCCCTAACTAGCCCTAGGGGCCCACTCACTTAAAGTTAGATGCCCCTTCCAGCGGCCTTCAGTGCTTCCTAAATTATTCCTGGGTGCCCCCCGTTGGTCCTGAGCGCCCCCCTGGGTGCTGGGTGAGCCCAATCAGTCCTAGGAGCCCAACAGTGCCAGCTACCCCTAACTGCAGCCCGTAGCTGCGAGCAACCCCACCACCCCTCAATAACTCAAACTGCCCCCACTCAGCCTTGTGCTCTCTTAGGGGGGGGGGAGGGGGGTGTGTGGTTACGCTTGGCCACGCCTCCGTCAGCGCAAAGCGCCACCCTATGCACGGCGGAAGTCTCGCGAGAAGCGGCGTGATGTGCGGGGGCTGTGTGGGCACGGAGTACCCCGAGAGGGTGGGTAGGCCGCGGTCTCGGCCGGGCCGGGGGGGGGCCGGGGAGCACTGAAGCCCGGTGCCGAGCCGTGCGGTGTCCCCTCGTAGGGCACCACATGCCTGGAGGGCGGCTCCTTCCTCCTTAACTTCGTGGGGTGCGCGCGGTGCGGCCGCCGGGACTTCGTACTGCGGGGCAACCGCGCCGCCGGCCTGCACGGCGACGATGAGATCATCACCTACGACCGTGAGCGGCGGGGGGTCTGGCCGGGTGGGGGGGGGGCTCTGAGGGTGTCTGGAAGGAGGGTGTGGGACTCCTGGCGGTTTCTTAGGGGTTTGGTGTTTTTTTGGCGGTGGAGGGGTGTGTTGGGGGTCTGGTGCTTTAGGGTGGGTTTGCCTTGTGTGGGGGGAGGTGTTGTGGGGTCTCCGGGAGGGGGGGAACTGGGGCTCAAGGCGTGTGTCTGAAGGGGGTAATTGGTGGGGTTTGGTGCTGTAAAGAGAGGGGTGTTGGAGGGATGTATGGGGGATATTAAGGAGAGGGAGGAGAGTGGAGGGAGTGTTTAGGTATTGGGCTCGAGGGGGCATTGGGAGTCCGGTGCCATAAAGGGGAAACTGGGAGGAGTTGAGCCTTGAGGGGGATATTGAGGGTTTGGGACCTTATAGGGGTGATTACCCGCTGGGGGAGAGGGGGGGAGGGTTGGTGCTTTGAGACCTAACCTGGGGCTCAAGGGGCTCAGCATCCCAGGGTGGGACTTTTGCCCCGTGTAGGGGCTGAGGTGGGTTCAGAGGTGAAGCCAAGGGTCCCCGGTGAGCACTGTGCCAGGGCTGGGCACATCATCATATCCCCATCCCTGAAGGCCCTTACCTGGCTTCCTCTGCAGACCTGTGCAAGAACTGCCACCACCTGATTGCACGCCACGAGTACACCTTCAGCGTGGTGGATGACTACCAGGTACATCCTCCAGGGGTCAGGGGGTTCTGCTGTGCTGCATGGTCTCTCCCCAGCCCTGGGGGGTGCCCTCATCTTTGCTAGTGCCCACCTGCCCTCACAGCCACTGGAGGGAGCTGGAGGTGAGCAGCAGCTCTGGCACTGGTCCCAGTATCACAGGTGTACAGCTCAGGAGCTCTGTGGCACACATGAAAGCAGCCACCCCACACTCCCCATCCCTCTTCCCTGGCTCATTGCCCATTCAGCAGCAAAGTGCTGGAAAATGGGCTCTGGGCAACCAGTGAGGCAGGGTCCTGGGGGGATGAAACGCAATCCGTTGTGATCTGATTGCAATCAGGGATCAGGTGTCAGCCACAGCTCAGGTTTCCTTGGCAGTGGAGGGAGGGGATAGTGTGGCCTGAGCCCCCTTCCTGCGCTGTGTTCTGCTCCAGGAGTACACCATGCTGTGCCTGCTATGCGGCCGCGCCGAGGACTCGGTCAGCATCCTGCCTGACGACCCACGTCAGATGACCCCACTCTTCTGAAGGCAGTTTGTAACCCTGGGTGGGGGGGGGCTTCAGGCCTGACCTGAGGCCGCTTTGTGTTGATGAAAAGGGGGGGGGGGGATGGGGATGGGCAGCTTGTTGGCACCCTGAAACGGTTCTGTGCAGCGCAGCTGCCTGAGGAGTGCGAGCAATAAAGGTGAATTTAGTACAGCTCAGAGCTGCATGCAGAAGCACTCTGTATTTGTTCCCCCCCTTGGTGGGAACAGGCTGGGGGTGATGTCATTCTCCTGTGCCCCACCTCCCAGTGCTTGCTCTGCTCCCAAAGCCCTTCTAAGGCTGTTGCCTCACTCTGCCTGCTGTGCCCCTCTGGGGGCACTCATTCCTGTTGTGGGCGGGGCGGGGTGGCACACCTTCACTGTGAGTCTGCAGAAATTGCTTTCACCTCTCCCCTCCTCTTCCTATAATGGAGCTGCCACCATGCTTTGGCACCGTTCCATTGTGCACAACTACTTCCTGCATCCCATGTGCTCGGTGTCTCAAAAACCAGGAAAGGGGGGCGCAAACAAGGGGGCTTGGATGCTGCCTCCTGCTCATTTATTGCCGCCAGCCCCATCCCAGCGGCCCCAGCCCTCCACCCCATCAGACCCCCTCCCCATGGGGGTTTCGGAGGGGGCCATCACCTGGCAGAGGACGGGGGCTATCTGGGTGGGGGGTACGGCCCTACTTGGCCAGCTTGAGGAGGCGCTGGATATCGGGCTCTATCTGGGCAGTGGGCAGGCGAGGGCTGTAGCGACGGAAAGGTTCCCCCTCGGGCCCCACCAGGAACTTCTCAAAGTTCCAGGAGATGTCAGAGCGCCGCACAGGGCTCCACACCAGGAAGCGGGGTTCGGCCATCAGGTGGTCTGCCTCATCCACGGGGGCGGGCAGGTGGGCCTTCAGGTAGGCAAAGACGGGGTGGGTGTCCTTCCCATTCACCTCGCACTTCTGGAACAGGGTGAAGTTGGGCTCGAAGCCGCCCCCCGGCCGCACGTGCTTGAGGCAGTTGAGGATCTCCTCGTTGGTGCCGTTCTCCTGGCAAGGGTACGAGGGGCTGAGCCGCATCATCCACCACCCCGCGTCCCCTCATTCCCGTGGATTTACCTGGTAGCCGAACTGGTTGCAGGGGAAGCCCAGCACCACCAGCCGCCGCGGGTAGCGTGCCTGCAGCTGGTTGAGCTGGGTGTAGTCCCGCACCGTGGTGCCTCAGAGCGACGCCACGTTCTCGATGAGGACCACCCGCCCGCGGAAGACGTTGAAGTCCACCTTCTCCCCCTGCAAGGAGGTGGCGCTGAGGTCGTAGAAGGACTTGGCGATGGGAATGCTCATGGCTGCAGGTGACAATGTGCTCTGCCGCCTGCCTGCCCGCCTTAAAGGCTGACCTGTGCCCATGTGACGGCATCTGTGCTGTGACTGGGTGGAAAGCAGAGCCGGCCCACCTGCTGGCACCTGCCCAGGGACGGGGTGGGGGAAGGCCAGGGCAGCGCCGCCGGCCTCAATTATTGATGTGGCTGCCACAGCACGGAGCTCAAAGCAGCCTGGGGCTGGGCGCAGGGTGCTTGCTGTGTGTGCCCCCACATTGTCCTTAGCGCACGCCCGTCCCAGTGCCCACCATCCTGAAGCCCGTGTGTCCATCACCATCCCCGTGCCAGCCGTAATCCTGCTGCCTGTGTGTCATCCTACTGGTACCCATCCATCCTGATGTCCAGTGCTGTCCCATTGCCCACTACTTATCCTAATGCCACCACTGTTCTAATGTTGGCTTGTCCCAGTGCCCACCATAATTCCAATGCTCACTCATCCCAGGAAGTGACAGTGGCCTAAAACACACCTGCCCTGGTGCCCACTGTTGCACTGTCCATAACCACCCTAATAACCACAAGTGCCAGTGGCCATCATTCTGTTGCCAACTCATCCCAGTGACCGCCACTGCCCTAAGGTTCCCCCATCTCACTGCCAACCATCGTCCCGATGCTCACGTATCTCAGCACTCATCACCATCCTAGTGTCTGTCAGTTTCAATAAGGAACAGCATCCTAATGCCCAAATATCCAGCTGTCTGCCACCGTCCCGCTGCACAACCCTTCCCAGTGCCCATGACCGTCCTAATGCACATGCCCCATTTACCCACCACCCTTCTAATGTCATTCCATCCCAGTGCCCACCATAATCCCAGTGTCTGCATGTACTGGTGCCCATCACCATCCTAATGCCCACCCATCCCAGTAAGCAACCCAATGCCCAACCATCCCGATGCCCACCACCAACCTGCTGCCCACCCAACCGTGTGCTCGCTGCTACCCTGATACCACCATGTTCCAGTGTCCAGCTCTTCCCTGCTGCCCACCACCATCCCATTGTCCCTCCGTCCCGGCGCCTATGATCATCCTAACGCCTGCACTTCCCACTGCCATCCATCCATTTCCCACCCATCTCAGTGCCCACTGCTTGGTGCCCATGGCCCTGTTACCACTGCATCTCCACATCTCCACAACCTTGTCCCCACCCTAGGAAAGGGGACACTGGTGAGTTCCCTCCATTATTCATCGCTGCTCGGGTTGCCGCAGTGCCGGGGACGCCACGGTGGCACCGCCAGGTGACACCGTTCCCGGTGAAGGGGCTCCAGTATCTCCTTTATTGTGGAAATGGTGTGCAAAACAGGGTTGCAGGGTATGCCAACAGTGCCTGGGACCCCCCCCCAAACACCAAGGGGCTGCGGTGGAGTGGGGGTAAGTCCCCGTTCCTTGTGTTCCCCCACCATGCCCCCTCTGTAGCAGGGCAGGGGGAGGCCAGGCTTCAACACCAGCAGTTTTTGGGGTTGTCGTGCCCCCCCGGGGTCTGCTGCTCATCCTCCTCCAGCTGGGCCAGCTCAGGGGGGGCCGTGGCAGTGCGCAACCCCTCCAGCTCCTTGCGGTGCGCCTGCAGCACCAGCTCCGTCAGTCGGGTGAAGGACTGCAGGGAAATGGGGTCAGCCTTTGGGATGGGGTGGGAGGCACCCGCCTTCAGCCCCACACACCTCCTTTATGTTCAGGTTGCTGCAGGCACTGGTCTCATAGAAGTCCATTCCATACTCCCGGGCAAGCTGCGAGGCAAAGGGCTCGGCGGTGCCGATAGGATTTTGGGTGAGGGGTCACCCCCCCATTTCTCAACATCATGGGGCAGACAGACGGTCCCACTGGGTGCACAGTCTATGGCCATGCATTGGGGTGTGGGGCAATTTTAGGGGAGGCTGGAGGTGGGGGAGCATTTGGAGGGAGAACTTGGGTGATGCTGGGGGGAGCACAAGGGGATGCTCAGGGTGCAGGAGGCTCCGGGGGGGGGGGTCCTGGTGCACTGGGGGGCCCTGGCCACGCAGGGAGTGCCACCCCACCAGCTCACCTGCAGCCCTTGCTCTTTGGCCACTTGCCTCTTGTGCTCTTCGTCTGCTTTGTTCCCAATGAGGATCTTCTGGACACCATCGGGTGCATACTGAGAAAAGGGATGGGGGAGGAGGGAGCACATCAGCACCTCTCACCTCACCTATAAATGAAAGGGACCTCCCTCTGAGCCCCCACCTCATCCACGTCGCTGGCCCACTTGACGATGTGCTGGTAGGAGCGCTCACTGCTGATGTCATACACTAGGAAAATGCCCTGCAGGAAAGGCACCAGGGAGGGGAGAGGAGGCAGCACTTTGACCTCCCCGTGCCTCAGTTTCTCCCCCTCGTGCCCCTATTACCTGTGCCCGCCGGTAGTACTGCTTGGTGATGGTTTGGTACCGCTCCTGCCCTGCCGTGTCCCTGGGGGCATGGAGGGGGTTGGAGAAGTCATTCCTTACCCCATGCCTTAGATGAACCCCGAGGGGGGGCACCGTGGGGTGCGACCTCCCCAAGCACTCACCAGATCTGGATGCGCACCTTGATGCCATCCACCTCGATCGTCTTCATCTTGAAGTCCACCCCTGGATGGGAGGACGGCAGCTTTATCATCATTATTTTTTTTCCTGGGGGGTGGTTCCGTGCTTCCTCCCTACGTTCAGCTGGGACTGGGGACGCCCCCCCCACAGACCCCTTCAGCCCTCCTGGCCCATAGCTGTGCTGTGCCACTCTGAACCCCCGCGGAGCTCCTTCCGCTGCCCTCCGATGCTCCCAGCACTGCAGCTCCCCGCTGCTCCCTGTCCCCAGTGTGGTGGCTCCCGGTGCCCCTGGTTTCCCTGCTGTTTCCTGGTGCTGCGATGCTCCCAGCGCTCCCAGTTTCCCATTTTCCCATAGCTTCAATCTCCCCATTTTTCCAATTCTCCCAGCTCCCACTTCTCCAGTTTCCAGGTTCCTCACTGCTCCCAGCCCCCAATTTCTCCTCTTCCGGATTCTCCCACCTCCCGGTGCTCCCAGTTTCCCATTTTCCCACTACCCGTCGCTCCCGGTTTCCCGGAGCCGGGATGCTCCCGGTACCCTCGGTTTCCAGGTTCCCCGGTGTTCCCAGCTCCCATTGCCCCCGCTTTTGCTCTGCTCCCAGCCCCCCCTACCCCCGCTTTCTCACTGCTTCCAGCTCCCGCTACCCGCCCGGTTTCCCGTCTCCCAGCTCCCACCCCCTGGCGCCGCGCATCCCCGGTGCGAGTACCGATGGTGGAGATGTGCGCCGGGTGGAACTCGCTGTCGGTGAAGCGGCACAGGAGGCACGTCTTACCCACGCCCGAGTCGCCGAGCAGCAGCAGGCGGAACAGCACGTCGTACTGCTTGGCCATGGCGGCCTCGCGCCGCCGCCGGGCCGGGGGAGGGGATCCTGCGGGATGGCACCTGGGCGGGGCGCGGGGATGCGCCGGGCACCGGGAGGGAGAGGCGGGAGGGATGGAGGGGGGGGGGGGGAGGCAGTGAGGGATGCACCATGGGGATTCGAGGTGGAGGCACACACGGTTTTGGAGCGGGGGATGTAGGGGCTCGATGAAGAGTCGTGAGTTTGGAGCAGGGGATGTGGGTGACAGAGGAGGACGCAGCAAGGGTCAGAAAGGGATGCGGTGGGGGAGAGCAACAGGGACAGTATGAGATGTCCTGGGGCACCGAGAGGTAGCAATGGGGTGTATGGAATGGACCATTTGAGAACACCTGGAGTTGCAGCCAAGGCACTGGGAGGAACCACAGCGCATTAAGGGGGTAGTGGGGACACACACACGGGTTTGGACCCAAGGGACATGGGTGACACCGCAGCAGATATCTGGGAATGCACTGGGGGTCACCAGGAGGAGGTAGCATGGGGAGGTGCAGGGGGCACACACACTGGTTTGGAGCAGGATATGTGGGTGACAAGTGGGGACATGGCAGGGAACACCCGCAGATGCACTGGAGGACACCAATGGGGCTACCAGGAGATGTCCCGTGTCACTGGGAAGCAGCATGGGAAGGAGCTGGGGGATATGGGACAAGGTGGGGGACATGCGTTTGGAGCGGGGGATGTGGGCAACAGCTGCGGACACAGCAGGGGACAGTGTAGAGGCGCAACTGGGCGACATTGGAGGTGACATTGGGTGACATCCTGGGTCACTGGGAAGATGCGGAAGGGGGTATGGGGTGGGGACACGCATGGGTTTGGAGCGGGGGACGTGGGTGACAGAATGGGACGGCCCACAGGGCACTGGTGGGGACAATGGGAGACGTCCGCAGGTCTCTGTGAGGCCGCACCGGATGGGGTGATGGGGTGGAGACGCCCAGAGCCAGCCCGGGGAACACCCCCAGGGTTGGGGGTTTGCCTGCGCGGCCCGAGCGTCGCAGCGCCACGAGGTGACACCGCGGCCACACTGCGACACGGCGTCACCTGACCACACAACGCCAGCGCGCCGCCACGCAGCGCCGCCTGCCCCGGGGTGGTCGGGGCTTTAGAGCGGAGTGGGCGTGGCCAACTGCGGAGGGCGTGGCTACCCCCGAAAGGGGCGTGGTCTTATGTCCCCGCCCGGCCGCCGTCGGCCCGGCCGGCAGCAGCATGGCGGGGGCATCCCCGCACGGCCCCGGTTCGCACGGCCCCGGCGGGCGGCGGCGGCTGCGGGAGGACGGCGTGAGGACACACACTTCCGCCGAGCAGGTGCGGGGAGAGAGGCTGTGGGGCCGGGGGTGGGGGGATTGGGGTCTGAGAGGCCGTACGGCCGGAGCTGAGGTACTGCTGTGTGAGGGGCCCGGGGCTCTGAGGGGTTGGGGTGTGGAAGTGGTTAGGGGGCCGGGATCGGAGGGGGCCTTGGGCCTGGGGGCTAAGCGGGCTGTGGTGCTGCGATCTGTTGGACTGGGGGCTTTGGGGCTGGGATCTGTTGGACTGGGGGCTGAGGGGTTGGGGTCTAAGGGGCCATAAGATATGAAAGGGTGTATAACTGAGAGCTTGCAGAGCATGGGATTGTGATGGAGCCGTGGAGCTGGGTCTGAGGGGCAAGTGCTGAGACTGGGGTCTGAGAGGGCCAAAGTCTGAAGGACTGAGGTCTGAAAGGCGGTGGTCGGGGAATGCCGCGGGTCTGGGATCTGAGTGCCAGGGTCAGAGAGTGCCATGGGGCCAGGTGTGAGGCAGTGAGGGGGTGAATTTCCCTGCTCCAGCTCCAGACCGTGGTGCATTGCTTAACTTTGGGACCAGGAAGCCCCAACTGTACTTCTTGCATCAGCTCCCTTGGCCCCTGGCGTGCTGAGGTGGGACAGGGAGGGGTCTGAAAACTTTAACCTTAGACCTAAAGTGAGTGGAGGTTGCATGGTGTGGCAGCTCCAGGCACTGATAGTGTGCTCTACTTCTTGTACCATAGAGCAAAGTGGAGGACATTGTGCAGGAAGTGTTTGATGCCTACAAGACAAACCACCATGCTGTGCAGTAAGTGCCCCGTGAGTGCTCCCACAGCATGCTCTGGGCTGGGGCTCTGCTGAGCCCTGCCTGCTGCCTTGCAGGTTTGTCCTGCAGCGGGAGAAGCACTTCCACTACCTGAAGAGAGGCCTCCGGCAGCTGGGTGAAGCATATGAGGTACTGAGCACAGCCCCAGGGCTCCCTGGTGAACCCTTCAATTGTCATTGAGTTATTCCTGCCCTGGAGGCTGCTCCTGTGCCATGGGGTGCCCCGGGGTGGTGGATTCGTGATTTGCCCTTCCCAGAGTGCCTGTAGCCCCTCATGTCCCCCCTGTCCCTACAGTGTCTGGATGCCAGCCGCCCCTGGCTCTGCTACTGGATCCTGCACAGCCTGGAGCTGCTGGAGGAGCCCATTCCCCAGTCGATCGCCTCTGAGTAAGTCGTTCCTCAGCCTTGGGGGGCATCGAGGGGTCAGCACCCCATGAGCCACGTCAGAGCTGCTCAGCGTGGGTGCGCCTGCTCCCAGAGGTGCCCACTGCCCTGTCCTCTGGGGCCACCTCCCGCCGTCGCCGTGTCCCTGGCGCCAGCACAACGGTGCTTTGTGTCCTGTGGAGCCCTCAATGCTGCCTATTCTTGCCGGCCAGCATCTCGTGACAGAGGGAGGTGGGGGAGATACAGGAGTCAGCATCCACGTCCTGGGGTGGGGGGCTCCCCGAGGTGGTTGGGACACATCACCAAGGTGGGAATCCCCCTGGAAACACCTGGGGACACTGAGATGGGGCTGGAACCTTTTTCTGCTATGGGATGTGCTAAGGGAAGGCTCAGTGCCATCCTGGGACCCTCACCCTCTTGCCCACCCCGCCCCAGTGTCCTTCCCTGGTTCCTGTCCCCAGCTGTCCCCCTTGTCCCTGCAGTGTCTGCCAGTTCCTGAGCTGCTGCCAGAGTCCCCAGGGTGGCTTTGGGGGGGGGGCCAGGCCAGCACCCCCACCTTGCCCCCACTTACGCCGCTGTCAACGCGCTCTGCATCATTGGCACAGAAGAAGCATATAGCATCGTTGATAGGTACGTTGATAGGAGGGTGGTGTGGGGCTGTGGTTGGGGTGTGGGTGGGGGGGTTTCTAGCTCCACGCTGCCCCACACACCCGCATTCTTCCACAGGCAGAAGCTGCTGGAGTACCTACACACGCTGAAGCAACCCGATGGCTCCTTCCTTATGCATGTAGGCGGTGAGGTGGATGTCAGGTGGGTGAGCTGTCCCCTCTTTGACCCTGTGCAGCCCTCACCAGGGCTGGGGACAGAGGGGACATTGTCCCATTCTCCCCCAGGAGCGCCTACTGTGCTGCTGCGGTGGCATCGCTGACCAATATCCTCACACCCACGCTGTTCACTGGGACAGCCGAGTGGATAGCAAGGTGAGTGCTGGCCCAGAGCGGGCACAGGGTGGGTGGCCCCTCTGTCACTGTCCTTAGTGTTGTCCTCATGCAGATGCCAGAACTGGGAAGGTGGTATCGGCGGGGTGCCAGGCATGGAGGCTCATGGTGGGTACACCTTCTGTGGGCTGGCAGCGCTGGTCATCCTGAAGAAGGAGCACCTGCTGAACCTGCGCAGCTTGCTGGTGGGTGTCACAGGGTGCTGTGGTGCTGGGGGGTCCCGGTCCTGGTGATGAAACCCACTCCTGGTGATGAAACCTGCTGTCCCATGCAGCACTGGGTGACTGGGCGGCAGATGCACTTCGAGGGTGGCTTCCAGGGCCGCTGCAACAAGCTTGTGGATGGCTGCTACTCCTTCTGGCAGGCAGGGCTGCTGCCCCTGCTGCACCGTGCTCTTCACACACAGGGTGAGTGGCCCAAATGGGGAAAACCGGGGCTTCATCTGCCTCCAAGAAGCATGTTTGTAGAAGGGGGATGAATGAGCTTGAGCAAGGAAGCAAAGCGTAGCACAGCCCTGGAGGGTGCGGCAGGACCTTCGGTTAGAAAGAGGCTTCCCTGGGGTGGTCTTGGGGTGTTTTAACAGACCCTCTTTCCCCCCTTCTCCTGTGCAGGTGATGAGGCGCTCAGCATGTCACGCTGGATGTTCGACCAGTCGGCGCTGCAGGAGTACATCCTGCTGTGCTGCCAGTGTCCAGCTGGAGGGCTGCTGGACAAGCCAGGAAAGTGAGTATTGAGGCAGCTGTGGGGGAGGTACTGCACCCCCAGGGCTCTCTGCTCAGTGTGCCCCCCACCCTGCCCCAGGTCACGGGACTTCTACCACACCTGCTACTGCCTGAGCGGGTTGGCCATTGCTCAGCACTTTGGCAGCGGAGATCTGCACCACGAGTTGGTCCTGGGCATCCCTGAAAACCGCCTGGTAGGTGGGGGGGGAGGGGATACGGGACTCCCACTTCAGGGCTTCTTCAGGCTCAAAGTGCTTTGTCCTTCACTCTGGCAGCAGCCCACGCATCCCATCTACAACATTGTGCCGGAAAAAGTGATGAAGGCAGCGATGCACTTCTTGCAGCAGCCTGTGCCCAGACTGGAGGCAACAGGGTAGGGGTCTGCGCTCCACCCATCTGGGCAGAGTGAGGCCCTCAGGGTGCTAGCCATACCAAAAAGGAGCTGGGGGGCCGTAAAGCAGAGCTGCCACCTGCCCTCAGGGTGAGTAAGGAGCATGGGAGGCTTCCCAGCCCTGCTCCCCCCTCCCCAACCCCAAGAAAACACAGCTACCATGGGGAAGGATAAAATACGTTTTGGGTTTTTTTCCTTTTTATTATTTATAAGTCTTATAGTAAAGGGAAGCCTTAACTTGCAAGACAACTCTGAGCAGTATGTACAACATACTTTAGATCCATGGAATGAATGGCGTTAAAATGGGGTCACCTACAGGGAGAGGAGAGGTGGGGAAATGCCACAAATGTGGGGAGGCGGCTTCTGGTGTTCGTGTATTGGAGGGGTGGGACATAGGG